ATATATATATATATATATATATATGTGTGTGTGTGAGTTTGTGTGTGTTTGTGTGGATTTGTTCATGTGTGTGTTTGTGTGTTTTGTGTGTGTTTGTATGTGAGTGTACGTGTGTTTGTGTGTGTATGTGTGTTTGAGTGTGTTTGTGTGTGTATTTATGTTTGTTTATGTGTGTTTGTATGTGTGCGTGTTTTTTTGTGTGTTTGTTTGTGTGCTTTAAGTGTGTATATTTGTTTGTGTGTGTGTTTGTGTAGTGTGTGTGTGTCAGTTTGTATGGGTGTGAGTGTGGGTGTGTGTGGGTGTGTGTGTTTTTCTGTGTTTGTGTGTGTGTTTGTGTGTGTTTGTGTGAGTGTGTATGTATGTTTGTGTTTGTGTGTATGTGTGTTTGTATTTGTGTGTTTGTATGTGTATATGTATGGATATCTATAATAGTACCATAGCAGTGTATGTATGTTTATGTTTGTGTGTGTGTGTTTGTGTGTATGTTTTTGTTTTTTGTGTGTGTTTTTGTAGGTGTGTGTGTTTGTGTATAAATATCTGTATAATAGTACCATAGTAGTGTATGCATGTTTGTGTGTATGTGTTTGTATGCTTTTGTGTGTATGTGTATGAATATATGTATAATAGGACCATAGAAGTATGTATGTTTGTATTTGTGTGTGTGTGTTTGTGTGTATGTCTGTGTGTGTGTTTGTGTGTTTGTGTTTGTATGTGTGTGTATGCGTATGAATATCTGTATAATAGGACCATAGTAGTATGTTTGTCTGTATTTGTATGTGTGTGTGTTTGTGTGTATGTTTGTGTGTGTTTGTGTGTGTTTGTATGTATGTGTTTGCTTGTGTGTGTGTGTGTGTCTGTGTATGAATATATGTATAATAGGACCATATAAACATTCTTACTAAAGATGTCAATCATCACTATAAAAAATTGTTATTGTTGATACTGGGAATTAAATGTATTGTTCTGTTCTTGTTTACTAAATATACAGCTATTACAGTAGATATGTTTTGTTATATGCTTACATTTTTATTTAAAATCATTGTCGGTATTGATTTATCTTGAACAACCTTAAAGAGGTAGGCGATTATTACATAGATTAAAATATAACCAGATTAAAGTGCTCAACTGTAAGGTTGTAAAATTTGTAAAATGTTAAACAAGTAGCTACAAACAAACATTAATTTAAAACTACACTTTCTTATTTTTAAGCCCGACCAACAGTACTAACATAGATAGTAAAAAATGTTTTCATTGAGTCATTATTTGCAGTTACTATAAAGTTGTTGTAGCTACACCAGTGGCCTCATTAGTTTCTGTGTTATGGACATCAAAACACATTTCTTCATTAATACTTTTTTCTGTAGACTCCCCCGCACACTCAATATACGCGGTGTAATTTGTTTCGTATTGATTGCTGTTCGAGGGACTACCACGTTCAGTAGCAGTAGCAGTAACAGTTTCACTTGAGCTAGTCGTAATCTCGTCGTAGGGGTTTTCGTCGGGGTCACTGTTGTCCACGACGTCGATGTAGGAGTGCGTGTCACCTTCTTGTGTTGCTGATGTGGACTTGTCGCTGTTTGTTGGCTCGATGTATATGTTGTCACTTTGTCTGCCTGTATAGTGTAGGAAAATAGCTAAAAACGTTGACTAAGTAATATGAATTAGTTAAGATATTTTTCACAATCTTTATTCTCTATCACTCTTTTTTTATTATAGATATATATTTGCAATTCGATCATTGAAACTCACATTTGTATGTGCTACTAATACATACACAGAGCCAAATAATGAAGAAAGAAACACTTTCTCACACTCATGTCCCTATTTAGGGACGGAGTGGTCTAATGGTAGAGCGTACGACTTCTATCCTGAACGTCTCGAGGTCAGATCTAGGGCCCAAGTTTTTAGGTCATCCCTGAGTCCACCCAGCTCTGATCGGTACCTGAGATAGAGATAGCCATAGTGACGACTGTACAATCTCTTCATATGCCAAGGTCACAGAACTCTACTTTACCTTCCCAGTGGTTCGAATGGCTAGGAAGCCGTATTAATAATTAATATTTTATTTTTAGTATCTTCAGTCCTTTTACCTTTAAGATTCAATTACGTGTAAACAAGTAATGAATCAGTCTAAATTATGGGCTACATAAAGTAGATTAAATACCTTTCAGCCTTGTGAATGCTATTATAATTATCATGCTTGTTATTATAACACCACCACCGAGTGAAAAGCCAATTTCAAAATAATATGAAGTACCCGTACTAGCTGTTGAATTATAAAATTCATGTATGCCTACATTATATATATATATATATATATATATATATATATATATATATATATATATATATATATATATATAAATTAGTCATATTAAATAGAGGATTAACAATAGGACTTAATGTATGAAGACTAGTACGTTATAAGCAAAGTAAGTAGAGTAATTAAATAGTTACTTAAGTTACGTGATGGCGTAGGCCCAGTGTTGTTTTCTTCTGCAATAATAAAATAACATTTTTACAGTTTTAATATAAACGTTTCTAATGTTTTTGAATCCAAGGTAGACAAGTTTTGTAGATATGCTTAATTGATTACAAACATATTTATTTCCCAAATTTTCTAAACTATTTCAGCATATTTCTATATGGCAAATAAAGGAGGTTAGCCATAAAAAGCTTCTGTAACTATTTGTTGTTAAATTCCCTTTAGAATCCTAAAATATTTTCCTACCTATTTGCTCTCTCTCTCTCTCTCTATCTCTCTTTCATACAGTCATTACCGGCTCTAAACCATGTCAGCGGTCTCTTGTCACGCGATTTTCCCTCAGGTTTTCTCTTTCTTCCCAGTGCATCGTGACTTACGGGTAAGCGAGCAAGCGGTCTATCGCTAGACCACGCCGTCCCTTTGAACCTATTTCTTCTAAACCCAATGGATCTGAACTCCTTCCTAACTCTGTATCTTCATGTTGTAACAAAAAGCCACCATTTTATGTTGCGGGCGGAACCCATTGAACAAGTGATAACCTTTGACACCAGAGCCCTTAGCTGTAGTCATCATCATATTTACAGCATTCGTCATCCTATCTTTAACCTACATTAATTTCACGAAGCAAACTGTCACGGATATTGTACTTAGAAATATTCGCTTGCTCAAATACCGGGTTTAACAACGTTAGATAAGATGATTGGTTTCTTACTCATCGCAATTTATACTTCCTATCAATAACGTTCAAATGTACTAGACGTAATTATTATATAATTGCACACATTAATTAGTACAATGAATGTTAACATATTAGCGTTTAAAGTTGCTGAAAATAAAAAGGGTTGATTGGATATCTCTTTTATTAAACGGTTTTTTTTCTATCCCTAGTTTATATTATTGTATGAGTTATAACAGGGGCGTAGCGAAGGGGGGGGAGGGCGGGGGGTGCGGACCGCAACGGGTGACGCCATTTAGGAGGGGGGGGGGGGTGACACCAAGGCAAAAAATAGCAAAATATATACAGAAAAATGATAATTCCACTTTAATAAGTGGTTAATAAGAGTGTTAAATAGTCTTTTAAGAGCAAATTTGATAAATCCCTACAACGGACGAGGGGGGGGGGGGGGTGACACCATTAAGTGCCGCACCGTGTGACACCCGACCTCGCTACGCAACTGAGTTATAATATGAACCGTGTTAATCATAAACTTTGTATATTTTATTTTTAATCTTTTCACTCAATCATCCGTGGAACATCGTAGGGGCAACGATGTTTACCAAACCTGAACTAATCAATCTAAACTCAGTTAAGCTAATTAAATAGATACAAGAATAACAAAGAATAATCTAGACGCACGAAATCAAATAAAAGTTGTAACCCTTATAACGACATAGAAAAAAAACTAAATATGTATCATAAGCATGATAAATGTTAAAAAAATTATAGATAAGTGTATTAGTTTAACGTTTGAGAATTGAACGCACATGTATCTTTTCAGTAGATCTATTAGTAATTTAAAACTTCCCGTAAACATCCCATTCAACACCCCGGTGTTAAAAATCTGCTTGAAAAATAACGTAAAACAAATGGAATTCAGGAACATGTGTGAGAACTGTACAGAATAATTGCGAACTATTAATACGGCAACTACAGGCGACTCAGAGGAGATAATACTATAAATTACATCAATATTTTTTTTAAAATTCGTGTTAAATTAAAAATAATACATGCACTTAATTAAAGTGGTACTTATAAGTACCGTAAGTAGATAAAGGGTTAAGTAATTATTTCTACTCACTACACACTTTCAAGAGACCATTTGTATTGTTGGGAACTGTCTCTAACATAGTATTTTCATTGGCCGGAGCTGTCTCTACTGCTAACTCCAAAATGTATTCATCTATTTCTCTGCATTTGCAATTATAGTAGTCTTCAAGGCATTTTCCATATCTTATTCGAAGAAGGCATATCTGTTGATATCATTAATTGCTTAGTATTACGTAAATATAATTATGATTTTAATTTTTAAAATGTGCCTTAACTATACCAAAACTAATTGCTAACACAAACTGTGAAAAATAATATTATTAAAAAAAATATTAACTTGTTAAATTTGTTTATTTTTTTTATGGCGATTTAAATAAATAATATACATATTTCCTTATCAATTACTTAAAAGATAGATGTTGACGTTATGTTGTATAGACAATAAAACGTAGTTAAAATACTTCTTTACAGTTAGCTCTGATTGAGCAGAATTATTTCCAGTTCCTCTGGTTTTGAGTCGAATTTGTCTTATGTTTTTGTACGCACTTGTAACATTTACTACAACTGTTAAACTGTAGTTGGCTGAAACATTAGTACAGGGAATTACGTTTCTTATCATAACATCGTCCACATAAGAAGCTGGGGAAACATAAAAAGGCATAAATGTACATTACTTTTAGTATTTTCATTACATACAACCTATGCTACTAAAGAAATCATGTATTAACAACTGTAAACTTGTAACAAGTGTCTTATCCACTTAAGTAAATTTCAAATATATATATATAGTAGTAAAGAAAACTTGCCATATGCCATCGCTAATACCATTAATGCAAATCTCACGATATATGTCAGTAGATAATGCTGCATATTACTCAATGTTAATTTTTTCTAGATAAAGTAAACCGAAACAAAGAAGTATAGCAGTTGAAATCCAGATGTAATGATCTTATAGAATACAATGAGAGCAGGAAATGGGCAATTTAAAGTGACTAAAAGTACTTGATCTAAGTTCATTGCTAAACGGGGTTAAAAAATGTATTTAAAAACATAGCGGTAAATTAATCTCAATTCGTCATTATTTAATTAGATACACTGACATTTTGCTAACTTATGCATTTATCACATATCAAACACAAGAATGCACACTCAGACACACACACACATAGACACACATACACACAGACAGACAGACACACACACAAAGAGAGAGAGAGACAAAAGATGTAGAGCGAAAGGTTGCTAACCTGAAATTCTCGAGTTCGAATCTGCGTCCAAATAAAAATGGGAAAGGCGATTGTACAAAGTGTTAAAACGCCATTACTTCATATAATATATAAGCAGAGGTCAAGATCTTTTCATTATCATACATGGATCGCAAGTTCAAGAGGATTCATTACTTTACTTTTACTTTTTAAATAGGTCGCTAGCCTATATAAATATATTCATACATACATATATACATACATATATATATATATATATATATATATATATATATATATATATATATATATATAATATATATATATGTGTGTGTGTGTGTGTGTGTGTATATATATATATATGTACATGTATATATATTTATATATATATATATATATATATATATATATATATATATATATATATATATATATATATATTTGAACAAAGAGAAAAACAAATATAGGACTTTGCTATGGACTTTAAGATATATTTTTAATATTGTTTTTTTTATTTCAAGGACAACATGGGTAAAGTGAATTTGTATGTGGTTAAATTCATGATAAATATGTGGGTACTACACTATGTTTTTGGTAAGTAGCCCCTGTAATTATCACATAAAACCCTGCGCCAATAAATTGTAAATCTAATCCTGTTTAATGTATGATCCAACATATAGGCCTACTGTATTTGCAGGAGATTTGTGTGATCCGTGTGTAGAGAACAATCAGTGCCGCATTTCTCATGTCTTCCAACTAAATGGTCCTCTCCCTGTACATTTTCTTTGGAGGAAATAGGGTGTTGATTATTTGATATGCTACCCTCAACACCCTGCCGAATGCCAATTTATACATGAACAAGAACAATTTGAGAAAGCAAATATTCAATTAAATGATGGAAACATTTATCTAGAAGTTGTTTTTAACACAAACAGATGGAATAAAACAACATCTGAGAGAAAATGGGATTTATTTTCTTATCAAAATGCTTTGAAGCACCTCTACTCCTGTCATGTGAATGTGTGTAGTAAGTATCCTGTTATAATTTTACAAATAATTATAGGAAAATAACGAAACATGTTGGTAAATAATGATATTAGAGCCTTAGACAAAGAGAAAGACCAGTGATTAAAAAATTAAAGACAGCGTCATGGGTGAAACCATCCACTGACCTTACATATTGAATCCAGGTTAGTATTATGTATATTCCTGTATATTACTTGAATTAGCCAAAATCATTAAATTGATTGTTTCTCCAATATATATGTATATACATATATATATATATATATATATATATATATATATATATATATATATATATATATATATATATATAATATAGTGTGATATGAACAGTTTCAAATTATTCGAAAATCTAATTTTTTCTGTTGCATTTTTACAGAGAAAATAGAGAAAATCTATTGCACACACTTGGCCTCACACAGTGGCCTTGAAATCAAATGTACCAGCCACCGTTTATTCCCAAAAAGTGCATGCCACTTTAGCATAAGCTTCAAGCAAGTAAGTTTGTCCCTTTCAATAATCCAAAAGTTTGTATAATTTAAAAAGTCAAAATCACCTACTTAAAAAATTAGAGAAATTCATATATATATATATATATATATATGTATATATATATATATATATATATATATATATATATATATATATATATATTTGTATTCAAGCAAATTAAGTAATTATTTCTTTTCCACCGATTTAGGTAGTTTTAAACCAGATGGCTGTTCATTATAATCATTCCATTACAAATACTGATCCCATCTACTACACAACTGATTGTTCATTGTCAGTACCACAACATCTGTTAAAGCATGGTGTGCTGAAATACAGAGTGACAATGTTTCCAAATATCTCTACTACCAGCGCAACATTTTTAATAAATGAATTACAAAAGACAGCTGAAGGCACAACCAACATAGGTTATTTTTAAAATTGATTTGATTTATTTGCTAATTATGTGTATTTAAATATATTTAAACTAACTTAATAATTAAATAGCCTACTTTTGTTACTATTCT